CTTCAATAATGCGTGCTGTTTGTTGTTAATCACGCGTGCAATAAACACCCTATGTTCCCATTATTATCCTCATATTCTCATTGTTACAATTTCATGATCTAATTCCAGCTATACCTCTCTCATTGCCACATCACATTCCCATAAGCCCATTCTGAGAATCCCATTCTTGAAAATCCCAACCCATTAATCCATTTCTGATTCCGTTCCCATAAGCCCATTCTGAGAATCCCACTCTCAAAACTCCCAACCCATTAATCCATTTCTGATTCCATTCCCATAAGCCCCTTCTGAGAATCCCATTCTCGAAAATCCCAACCCATTAACCCATTTCTGATTCCAATCCCATAAGCCCGTTCTGAGAATCCCATTTTCGAAAATCCCAACCCATTAATCCATTTCTGATTCCAATCCCATCAGCCCGTTCTGAGAATCCCATTCTCGAAAATCCCAGCCCATTAATCCATTTCTGATTCCATTCCCATAGGCCCATGATCATGCTTCCGCTCAGCTTCCTGTCGGCCTCGCTTGGGGACCTCAGAGGCATTTCCACGTGCCAGTCAACTTCTCATTCGCATTGTCCACCCAGCCTCCGCCAGTTGCCCTGCCAGCGGCATTTGTGGTTTAATACTATCCACAACCATCTTCCCATTGTCATCATTCAATCTCGCCCAATCATCCTATCACCGATTTCCCTCTGTTTTCTCCCCACCATGCCATGTTACGATCGAGCAAAGGGACGAGTGAGTGAATGGCTAAGGAGGGATAGGGAGGGAGAGGCGAAGCAGGAGGAGGGGAGTTGGGTGTGGAGGAGCGCCGGAGTGGACCCGGGTCAACGCTTCTGTCCAGTGATGTCAACGCTACTCTGTTGCCCTTTTCCCTCCCTCACCTTTCCAGTGATGTTCTTCTTATTGTCCTCTTGGTATCATCTTCACATTCCTGCTGCCTTTCTCCCATCGCTCGCATATTCCTGCTTGTCTTCTCTCATCATGCTCTCATCTCATGGTCACAATCCCAAAATCATGTTTCACACGCTTTTCCTCACTCACATGAACCCATGTTGTCATCTCATGGTCATAATCTCACTGTCGTGTTCCATGCGCATTTCCTCATGCACGTGAACCCATGTTCATGATCGCACTGCCATTTTCTCATTGCCATCTGCCCTTTTCAAATGGTCATTTCCTCATGAACCCATTTTGACATAGCGATTTTTCGTCCTTAGTTGTCTTCCTCCCATTCTCATTCCCCTGTAGTCAGTTCCCCTCTCTTGCATCCCACTGCCTGTAGTTGCGGTTCCACTGTCGCTATGTCATTTGTTTTGTTGTGATCCCATTGTCATGCTCTCACATGCCATTCTTCCGCTGCCATCTTCCCACTCCAGCAAGGGTGGAGTGCCTGGAAGGTTGGGGGAGGGAGGATGGGGGATTCAAGCAGGGAAAGGGGGTTAGGGATTGTCGTGCAAGTTACAAACGTTTTTCTTGCCTCCCAACCAACCTCATTCCGCATATGTCATCCCCACCTTTTTCGCATAGTTTATCTGTACTAAGACTTTATTTTTTCCTGTTGGCTTCTCATTTCCACTTGCCTAACCTATTCCGTTGTCATATTGCATGTTATAATCCCTATTGTCAGCGTTGTTTTCCAAATCAGTCTTGAGTTTTCACTTCTCAATCTTGTCATCTTGCTGTGAGTCGTCTAATGATACTGCCATTGCTTTCTGTCAATTTCAGCCATCGCTTCCCGTTTCAGTGTCATGCCTTCTCCAGTTCCCTTCTCATTCATGCCAGCTGTCCTACCGCCAGCTTCTCAAAACCACTTTCCAGTCAACTTTCTAACGCCTTCTTTTTTATTCCCTTACAATTTCACATGCTTCTTCCCAACAGCATGCCACCCTCCATTGCCGATTTCTGAGCCGTCTTATGTTGCCATTTGTCAAGCCCACTTCCAGTCGCCACTTTTCCAGTGGCTTCCCCATTTTCATTCGGCTTCCCGTAGCCCTGCTGATTGAAGTCAGCTTCTCATTGCCAATTTCCTTGTGAACCTCCCCCATTGTCAATCGTTCAGCCAGCTTTCTATTGCCATGTTCCTAGCCAATCGCATCATTGGCCAAGTGCTCCTCTCGTCTCCTCATGCGCTGCCTCCTGGTGCATGACAGGATGGGCGACCCGGGTGGCACCACATTCTCGCCCATCCCATCCACCCGTCCATCATCCCAGCAGCCGCCTCTCCTCCCCTCCGGGCCGTTCTTTTGCTTGCATCATATTCCTGCCTGCCGTGGCTGCCTGCCATGCACACATGGCATGATAGACGCCCGGGTCATGTTCCATTGTGAGCTTTCCGGCATCACCTGTTGCCCATGGCATTTCACCTTCTCATTTGCTCCGACTTCTCATTCGCTGTGACATATCTAAATGCCATTTCAAGTCAACTTATAACTAATATTTGTCCTACAAACTTTCCATTGACATGTTTCAACTCACATTCCCACTTTCATTTCTCCAGACACCCCCCCATTGCAATTCCCATGACTGCTATGCCTACCATCCACACGTGGTACGGTAGCATAGGAGTGCCAGTCCCTTGCATGCCTGCCATGCCTGCTAGCCAACCACCATCACGCAGCACAAAATTCTTCATCACATGAACCCTAAAGCATAGACCTGCTCCAAGTGTGAGCATGCCTGGGTACACATGTCGCTATGACTGCAGGTTTGGCAGGATGGATGGGCTGGTCACTGGAGTGGCTTGTTATTGCAATCAGTGTCGCATTGTCGTTTTCTTGTTCATTTTTTGCCTCCGTTTCCCCAGTGAAGCTTTCCAGTCACCTGCCATTTCGCTGAGCCTTCTCATACTGCAGTCATCTGTCCAGCCTCTTTGCATGGCCATTTCTCAATATACCTGTGCAAAGGGGCGAGCCGAGTAATGCTCGACTCGTCCCTAGCCTTGCTCGGCCGAGTACGAGCCCGAGTCGAGTAATACTCGACCGAGCATTTTTCCCCCAAACAGAAACTCGTTACTCGCCTTATATAAGGGAACTCGGGCGAGCATTTCGAAAAGCTCGTCAGAGTACGAGTAAATACTCGGCCATGTGCCCTACTCCTGCATAGAACGACTCTGTACATAACATCTAGTGAAGGCCATTGGTACCACGGAAGTATTGGGGTTTCCAGGGCCGCCCAGGTAAACCCAAGGTGGTCCCAGGAAGCCTAGGGAAGCCCAGGAAAGCCCTGGGTTGCCCTGGGTAGCCTTGGGTTGCCGCGGTAAGCCCATGGAAGCCTGACCTGGATAGGCGAGTACTCGTCGAGCAAAAAAAAACTCGGCGAGTAAAACTCGGCTTGACTCGCCCGAGTAAAATTTACAAAAACCGAAACTCGTTACTCGCACCCAAAAGAGTAACTCGGGCGATACCGAGCGAGTAACTCGTCTCGTTGCACAGGTATATTTCTCAATTAACTTCCTACCAGCCTTCCTCTCACCAATTGCCATCCACTCATCCATTCCCGCTTCCCATTCAACTTCCCACTGCCATTATTCACCAGCTTCCTACTGCCCTTTTGCTGCAACTTTCGATTGCCAATTTTCAATGAACCTTTCATCAATGCCTTTCTACTTGTCCAGTCACGTGCCACAGTCATTTGTGGAGTCTTCTCATGGTATTGCAAGATTTCATGTCCATTGCGTATTGCAAGTCTCCAATCCAAACATCATTAGCAGTGAGGGTGGATGGGTGGGGCATGATTGAAGGCAGTGGTAGTGGGGCAGAAGACGCTTCAGGGAGGTGGGATGTGAGATGAGGCAATAACCATGAGAGCTGGAGAAATGGAATAGAAAATCGCCATGTTGCCAACTTTGACTCCCACTGCCCAACCTGTAGAGCCTGTGACCAACGGAGAATGGTGACACTGACAAGCCACTGGTGGGTGCTGCAGGGTCGATGAAATGGAGACTCGAACAGTTTGCCATTGCTATCAGTGTCACATTCTGATTCCTCAATCGCATTTGCCATCCCTTTACCCCATGAAGTCTGTGTTTTCAACTTATGCAGTTATTAATTACCTTCCGTTGCCGCTTGTTGAGACTCCTCATACTACCATCTATTGCCCTGCCGCCTTGCATATCCATTTTCCCAATCAACTTCCTGCCAACCACGCTCTCATTTGCTTGCCCATGCTGTTTCCCACTCAGCTTCCTACTAAGATTTTTCCAATAACGTCTCATTCCTGATATTGTTGATTCCCCCTGTTCCCATTTGTCCAACCAGCTTCCATTGCTGACTGTTGTTTCCAGCTCAACGACCCATTGTGCCTTGAGTCCATTTTGCTTCACACTGTCATTCTCCCACGTATAAATTTTCCTCTGCCATGTCCCCCACCGTGCACCCCCTTCCCATGCATAGGCCGCACCGACTCGCCCATCCGCCACTCCGGCATGGGAGGTGTGAGCACGTACTATGGCTCGACAAGTACAATATACTGACAAGCTGCACCACGCATTTTGAGATTCTAAACAACAATAATTCTTGAAGACAAATCTATCCTCGAGGAATGTCCTCTTCTGTTCAACTTGGAGAAAGGAATATCCTCCTGGATTGTTTGTAGACAAGGTCATATATATGATAACCGCTGCATGGCTGCAGCTGTCTCTAGCGTGGCCAACAGCAGCACCAGCGGCAGCAGCAGCATCAGCGGCAGCGGTAGCATCAGCGGCAGCAGCATCATCAGCGGCAGCAGCAGCACCAGCGGCAGCAGCAGTAGCATCAGCAGCCGCAGCGCCGGCAGCAGCAGCTTTAAGCGCGCCAATAGTGCTTTGGTGAGCAAGAGGCGGCAGCAGCGGCTGCAGCAGCTACAGCGACTGCAGCAGGTCGAAGAGTGCCAGTGCAGTGACGTGCATGAGCAAGAGGCGACTTTTGAGTCGACTCAGAAGAGTGCCAGTGCAGTGACGTGCATGAGCAAGAGGCGACTTTTGAGTCGACTCAGAAGAGTGCCAGTGCAGTGACGTGCATGAGCAAGAGGCGGCAGCAGCGGCTGCACGTCGTTGCGATACGCGTGGGGCAGTTGAACGAGGACGAGCAGAGCACTCCGCGCTCCCCCCGTGCGTCGCTGGGCTTCTCCCCGCTGCGACCCACCAAGCCGCGCAGCAACACGCCCGTGAGTCAGCTGCGCAGCAACACGCCCACGCCCACACACGTCATAGGTGCACGTGCTGCTGTTACTAGCGCTGCTGAGAAACTGCTGTCAGCAGCGCTGCTTCCATGAAGAGCGTCGCTGTGAAAGCCATTCCTGTTAAGGCCGCAGTTTCGGCAGCCAAGGGAACGCGTGCATCTGCAGCTGCACCAGCCAATGCTGCTGTTGTTAGAATCGCTCCTGTTAAGCCTGCAGCTGCAGCAGCTAAAGGCACGCCAACCAAGGCCACTCGTGTGGCTCCTGGAGCTGCTAAGAGTGTTTCTGTTAAGAGCTGCCCAGTGGGGTCGGTGGCAAAAAAAGTGGCAGGAGAGAATGCGAGGGAGCAGGGCGATGAGAGGGCAGCACCCATGGCGGTGCGTGCAGCAGCAGGGAAGGGGTGGAGGCAGCAGGAGGGCGAGCAGCAGGTGTGGGGTCGGGTTCAGGGCGTGGTGGCGGTGGTGCGAGTGGCATCCGTGAGCCAGGGCAGAGCAGGGCAGCGCACACGGCTGCAGCGGCTAAGGCAGTGCAGGCTCCGCCTCACAGCACTCGTAAACCGGCTGCTCCAGCAGCAGCAGTGGCTGCCACTCGCATTCCAAAACCATGGATAGCAGCACCCCAGGGAAGCAGTGAAGGCCGAACACTGAAGCAGCAATAGCAGCAGCAGCAACGGTAACAACGAGCAGATTCTGAGCCATTCTGGTGGGATGTGGAGGGCAGCATGCAGCGGTTGGGTTGAGCATGGCTGGTGGGGCTGGTGGCAGGCGGATTGCTTGCAGGGTGTTGTGGGAGAGATGGCAGGAGAGGTGGAGGAATGTGGCCAGCTGGAAGGTGGTCTCAGGGGAGGCTGCCCGAAAAACAAAACAAAACAAATAAAACAAAACAATACAAACAAAAAGCACTTTCTTATTCATAGCTAAGACATTCGTAATTAGTTTAGATTCACAGTGTTTGTAGCTTCCTGTACTCATTTATATTGCAAAGGTCATATGTGTTTCATTCCCTTGTACTAGCTGGTGTTGGAGAAATGGATGAGTGAAGCAGGAGGAGGGGAGGGTGGAACGGTCTGAGATTGGTTCGTTGCTGTTGTTGCCTTCCCTTTGCCATTCTCAGCCCCTGGTGTTCTCCATTCTACCAATCACTCATCTTGGACCATTTTACCACCTTCATTTTCCTATTGCCGTTCTTTTCTTTGTCAGATTCCCATTGTCATTTTTCCCGCTATCTTGACACCATCCTCTGCTATGATACTCCCATTGCCATGTTCCATTCTCATCATGCAAGCTACACCCATGCTTCCGTTCTCATCATGCAAGCTACTGTCATTCTTCAACATTCATCTTCACATTGTAGTCACCCCCCCATCCTCATTTTGCACTGTATAAGCTGCCTTAGGAAACTCTGAATGATTCCCTCTTTCATTCACTCTCTGCTGGTTTTGCCATTTTCATTTTCCCCTTTTCCAGTCAGATTCCTCACTGTTCTTCGTTCGCACTACCGTTTATTGTGATCCACCCTTTTCCCCCACTGCATGTGACATGTCCCAGGGAAACGTCATTCTTCCCTCCTTCCTTCTCCCCTTAGCAATCTCAACATCGCACTTGTTTCCTCTACCATGCATTCTGCTGGCATGTCAAAGCATGATAGCTGCCTGCACATGCCCACTTGCTCATATGTGCATGATGTGCCTGCCTACTCATCCCATTGAATTCCCCATACAGTCGTTTTCTACTGTCATCTGGCTCTTCCAAACCCACCTATTCTCCCATGACCCTATTCTTTGTCCTTTTAATGAGTCAATTAATGTGACATTTTTCTGTTCACTTCTTCTTTGCCAACAATTTAGCCGTTTTCAAATCCACTTCCCCAATGCCTTTTGTCTTTTGTGCAGCTTCATCTTCCCATCACCATTGCTCATTCACTTGTTATTGTCATTAGCTAAATATTTCCGTGCTGCCATTGTCACCTGTCTAGTCAAATTCTCGTTGTCATTCATCTTGCCAAATCCCCTTTGCCACTTCTCCAATCTCACTCCATAGTGTCCAATCACCTTTCCGTTGTCAGTTTCCTGCTACCTTTCCCCATTGTCGATTGTCGTTGATTTGTCAATATCAGTTCCAGTCGGATTCCCACTGCCGGCTGCCGTGGAATTGCTCATTGCTGGTTGACCTGTCAACTTCACTTATCTGTTTCACCATTGCCATCATCCCTTTGCCATCCATCCCATCGCCATCATCCCATCGCCATCATCCCATCGCCATCATCCCATCGCCATCATCCCATCGCCATCATCCCATCGCCATCATCTCATCGCCATCATCCCATCGCCATCATCCCATCGCCATCATCCCAATGCCATCCGCCCATTGCCATCCGCCCATTGACATCCCACCCATTCCCGCCCTCCCATGCCAGGTTCGTCCTCTGCTATCCCCTCCTCTTGCCCCTGCTCCCTCATGCATGGCCCGCACAGCCTTGCCCATTCACCCGCCCATCATCCTACCACCCATGTCTCCTCCCCCATACTCTCCAGTGCATGCCTGCCTGCCTGCCTGTCATGCACACATGCCACCATGGGAAATCCACTCCCACAACCTCTCAGCCACACCTGCCATGGGCCATCCCTGGCCCCTCCACCCACCTCGCCCATCCCCTCCGCATGCCCACCCATACTGTGCTCACCGTGCCTTCCCATCCCATGCTCCCATGTTCCGAGTGCAACAAGCATGGCGCTTCCTCCCTTTATCAACTTCCACTTTTTATTTCCCCTCGCTTGCTATTCCCCACTGCCACATTCGCATTGCTATTACTCCACTGCCCTCGTCCTACATGTCATCGTCCTATTGCCCAGAACTTTCACTTGTCATTTCGCCACTGTCCTATTGCCATGTTTCATTGACATCATCCCACACATGTTCTCATTATCATCCTCCCATCATTCTTCCACTGACTACATGCCTCATGCCTTTTTATCGTTGTCGCTTGTCTTCTTGTTCCTCTTTCACTGTGTATCACGTGTCCCACAAAATTTTCCTGATCTCAATCTCCTCTTGTCAAGTTTCCTTTGTCAAATCCTTTGATCACAACAGCACGTGAATTTTCCCCTTTTCATCAATCTCCATGCCGGAACAACTCCCAGCACCAAATGTGCATCATTGGCCTTTCTAAGTACAAAAGATGCAGGACTGCACGCCGCGCTATGATTGGAATACATGAGGTCACCTCCAATTCTAGAGCATATATACATGGCTAGAGTCCAAGCAAGTGGGTGGTGTGGTGCAGCATCTCTAAAGCCACAACAGAAGTGGAATTGAATCGAGCTTGACGCTCTGTATGTGAATACATGCAATGTGACACCATAAAAATTGATTCGTTGAGCAACAATACGTACGACTATTAGAGCACTAACTACAATTGCAAGGAGGAAAATGTGGCATTGTAAACAGAGACCGGGTAGGCGCGGTCACGCGCAACCGTGCAATTGAACTTGAAGGAACCCCCCGGTGGGATGATCATCGCACTATCAGGTGCACTTAATGGAGGGAGTACCTGCGATTGGCAATCAGAGCAATCAGTTAAGAATCAAAATGGCAGCAGACACAACAACGCAGCGGGAGGAACATACCGTACTGTAAGTATCCCAACCCAAGGATGAATCAAGGCCTCTAAGTAAGGAGTGAAAAAGCAGAGGACTGAGGGAAATCAGGAGAGGGTTACAGTAATAAGGAGGATGAGTGAGTGAGGGAGAGTAGGAGCGAGGGTCCGAGGAAGGGCAGACCTTGAAGATGATTATGGCTTGGAGAGAGTCGCGTTGTGTGGGCAGGAGGCGCGGCATGAGCATGTAGGAGCGCAGTTCCACACCCGACATGGTGATGCTCATTGCAGCAATGGCACGCTGCCCACACGTGTTGCTCAGCGTGACCTGCAGAAGGAAGGTCCAGGCCGGAGGAGGGGGAGAGGGAGGGAGGAGGGAGAAGCGGGTGCGGGAGAAGGTGTGGAGGGATGAGAAAGCACACGTGAGGTGACCGAGCTACGGCTCTGCAAGAGAGAGAGAGAGAGAGAGAGAGAGAGAGAGAGAGAGAGAGAGAGAGAGAGAGAGAGAGAGAGAGAGAGAGAGAGAGCCTGTCCCAGATGGACCCCCAGCTGTGCCTGCTCCTACTCACCCGCTGTGGTTGCCCTCCTCCCCCTAATGGACCCCACCTCCAGCTCCGTGCACGCCCTGCCAGCACGCCTCGCAGCAGCAGAAGCAGCCCTCCCCCCAGAGGCTCTAGAGGCCCTTTAGGCCAGGAAAACAGACCCCCAAGGCCTTAAGCTACAGCAGCCTCTCGCGCTGGCGGTTCAGACACGCCGCTTCCTGAGGGTCATGAATGAAGCGCGGCGGATGCGCCCCAACCCTCTCTCTGGCCATTCTCAGCGGGTGCAGTTGGTGCTCGGCCCTGGCGCGGGAGACTGGCTGCTGGCATTACCCATCATACCCTTGCTCCGGATGGGACCTTCCCAGCTCTCTACCGCCACTGCCTTCCGCCTAGATCTCCCCCTACCTGTTCCCAGGCGCTGTGACTGCCGTTACCGCACTAAGTTCCCGGACGATCGCCTCCCAAACCATCTCATGCGCTGCAAGAAAGGGGGAGGGAGCATTGCTACTCACCACACACTCCGGGACGAGATAGCCTTGATAGCGGCAGAGGCGGGCCTCACGGTGCACAAAGAAACTTACAATACTCTCTCGTTGAAAACCTAAAGGCGGATGTCACCATCCGCCATCCCCTGACGGGAGAAGTTTGGATGTGTGACGTGACAGTGACAGACCCCGTGTCCCACCAGGATGAGCATTGCAACAGGGCCCCGGGGTGGGTGGCAAGGGCGGCAGCGGACAGGAAGGAGCAGAAATACGCACACCGGAATGCATGGGTTTCCATGCCTTGGCGGTGGAGAAATATAGGTACCCCTCGCCCGGGGTGATGGCGTTTCTGCGGCAATGTGCGGAGCTGGCGGCCAAGCTGAGATTCAATGCCTCTCCCTCCTTCTACGAGGCCGCCAAGCTGCTGACGGAATACCGCCAGCGCTGGAGCGTGTGCCTCCAAAGAGCACAGGCCAATGCCCTACGCTGCAAGACCAATGAGGCCCTGGCAGCGGACGAGCTGGGCATGCGGGGGCCCTTTGCCCCCCTTAGTGAGGGCCAGCTGTACCAGCTGATCGAGCCCCCGTTCGACCATTAGCACTCAGAACTCCTGGAGTGTAGAGAGAGAGAGAGAGAGAGAGAGAGAGAGAGAGAGAGAGAGAGAGAGAGAGAGAGAGAGAGAGAGAGAGAGAGAGAGGGCTTAGACTCTGCCTCTAGCCTCTGCCCCTGCCCTCTAGCTATATAAGGGGCCCGACTGGTCATTCCTCTCCCATTAGTTCATTTCGTTCCAGTTTTTGGCGGCGCTAGAGAGAGCGAGAGAGAGAGAGAGGGCTTAGACTCTGCCTCTAGCCTCTGCCCCTGCCCTCTAGCTATATAAGGGGCCCGACTGGTCATTCCTCTCCCATTAGTTCATTTCGTTCCAGTTTTTGGCGGCGCTAGAGAGAGCGAGAGAGAGAGAGAGAGAGAGAGAGAGAGAGAGAGAGAGAGAGAGAGAGAGAGAGAGAGAGAGAGAGAGAGAGAGAGAGAGAGGGCTTAGCCTCTGCCTCTAGCCTCTGCCCCTGCCCTCTAGCTATATAAGGGGCCCGACTGGTCATTCCTCTCCCATTAGTTCATTTCGTTCCAGTTTTTGGCGGCGCTCGCGCCGGCGGCCTTCGGCCGCGTGCTTTTGGGAGGCAAGCAACAATCTGGAAAGAACGTAAGACAAACAAGACACAATGGAGGCAGCCAACACGCGCAACACTTAGATACTCAAGATGCGGCACGTCTACGTGCGGCGGGCGTCAAATCCTACATCAAGTGGGCGTCAAGTGCCGCGAGGATCCCTCGCATGGTCCTCCACATCTGGCGGACCACTAACGCGGTCGCGCCAAGCGCTTCAACAGCGCCTCCTTCGCGGAGGTGCCCAGTCAGATCCTGGACAGTCAGGTCCAGCTGCGTTACCGCAACGCCTCCCGGCGCGGGCGCTCCCAGCACGGGTAGCAGGAGGAAGGCGAACTACGCTGCCGCTGCCAAGCAATCAGCTCGCGCCATCGGATCGAGAGTGCTCCCTGAGTTCCGGAGGATGGCAAAGTGTGAATTCACCAGAATCAGTGTCAGGGCCTGCTGGCACTCCACCAAGCGCCACAGCTGCGCGAGAGTCGCCGTGGGAACTTCAGCCGTCCCGGTCAGCCGCGCCGCAGCGGGAACGGGAAGAGCCGGTGGAGGGGGCACAGCCGGAACTTCATCTATGCGACGCGGAGGGCGGAATGGCCCCCTCGCCTCTCCGCCTCCCGCTCCCACAAATCCCGTGCCCGGAACGGGGGGAATCCATGGAAGAGGGGGATACGGTGCAGCGGAGCCTGGACGAGATGCGGGTGGTGGCGCGCGCCCAACAGCTGGGCCTGGACCCTGCGGGTACGCCTGAGCACTCGGCGCAGGAACCGCGTGTGGAGCAGGAGGAGCCTGGGCAGCCACAGGAGCAGAGGCGTGCGCTGCAGCGGCAGCAGCCAGCGAGCCACCAGGAGTCGACGCACTGTTCAGAGCCTCGCGCATCGCCGCGGCCAACATTCCAGGGAAATCGTCGCGTAACTGCTGCATCTCGCTCGGCGCCTCACGTCCGCGACCGTGACCTCCCCACCAGCCACCGCGGCCACCGCGATGCGCATTCCGGTACGATGGGGAGGGGCGACGCCGAGGAGAACCACGCCCCCGATGCGCCGCCGCACTGCCCCCTGCAACACCACGACTGTGGGACTCCGCGCGCTGATGCGCGACGGGCTGTACCGGCGCAGACGCAAGTGCGACCAGGTGCGCGGGGTCGTGGGCAGCGCCCACCGCTGTCCCCGGCGCAGGGACGCCGGCAGCAGCTTGGACAAGTGGCGACGCCGCAGGCGGCTGCGGCGCAACAGGAGCGGGCGCATCAGGGGCAAGAGCACCGAGAGGAAGTGGGAAGCTTGGCGGGGGAGCAGACGCCAGTTGGACAGGGGCCGTTGACGGGGCAGCGGCGACAGGGGGAACCGGGGGAGCAGTTGGAGCCTCAGCGGCCGGGGCAGCTGGAGCCTGAGGCGGAGCAAGCACGCTCTCAGCGGTGTGACCTTGATCCACCACCGACCTTGCCGCTTCTGTCACCATCTCGGCGAACGCGTCGGCAGCAGGCATTGGAGGACGCACGGATGCGTCAGAACGCGGGAATAGGTAGTCGCGAAAATCCCCTGCTGGCCGCGGCCAGCGCGCGGACACGAGGGGGTCGAGGCGGAGGTCGCGGACGTGGCAGGGGCACTCGGGATGGAGGTCCGGAGAATGCGTTCCAGGCAGCGGCAAGAAGGGCTTTAAACGATTTAGTTAGAACTAATGAAGAAGGCGAATTATCGGGTAGCATTTATGCGGCGGAGGAGGAAGAAGCAGACTCACCTTCAAATTCGAATGCCTCGGAGGAGGCCCAGTCACAAACTCCAGCTCGGGGGAGAATCGGCTCAACCCATGCCCGAGGCGCGTCAACAAATTTCAGAAACACACCCACCCAGCGGCGACTCTCACCACAGATTCAAACCGCTTCCCGCCTCCCTGCCACCACTGCCAACCATCCCGCCCAACCGAACCTGACATCGCCACCTGCAAATGTACCGCGAACAGCAGCGAGGGGTAACCAACAGCAACCACAGCCCCCTCCCCAAAAGTCGCCCGAAGCCCTCGCCAGGGACGACACACTATTCGCGAATGTCAGTACCTGGAATCTGAATAAGCTGCGCGATAGTCGCAACGCTCCGCTGGCACGTCGCCTGCCGGAAAAGCTGCGCCTACTTTTCGCTATGGTAATGCTGACACCACTGCTACGACTAGCACACGACCCAGACTCCATCCCAGCCTGGACGATTCTGCTGTTTGCGGCTCGCCTAACGCTGCGTCAGCATTCGCCGAGGCACCCTGACTGGAAGGCGACCAGGGAAAGATTGCGTAAATTCCTGCGAGGGGAATGGGAGGCACTGTACCAGGAGACGGTTGATTCGTTGGATTCCCCTCCCCCTCCCAGACACCAGCCAGACGACCTGGGGGTAGTATCCAGGGCAGAGGGTTTGGCGCGACATGGCAGCTTACGGAGAGCAGTCATGGCACTGGAAGCCACCCCAGTCAGCAAGCCCTCACCTGCGGTTTTGGAATCCCTCCGCGCCAAGCACCCTAGTGCCCCGCACTCCGACGCATCTTGGCCCCAGCCCGATCCAGACACTTACCTGGCAGTATCGCGGGACATTTTCCTGAAGCTCCTCTCGAAATGTGAAAATGGGGTAGGTGCAGGTCCCTCAGGGACAACATTCGAGCACCTGCGCGAAGCTGCCCTGATACACCCCACGGTCGGTTCTCACCTACATGCATTGGTTAACACAATCCTGAGAGGGAAGCTGCACCAGGAAGTAGGGAAGCTTCTTACAGCCTCGCGCTTGATAGCCCTCGACAAGCCGGATGGAGGAACGAGACCGATTGCCATAGGGGAGGGCATCCTGCGTTTAGCAGCCAAGGCAGCACTTACCCAGGTAGCGGACGCAGCACGAGAGTATTTCTTACCTTTACAGTTCGGAGTAGCCATGCCAGGAGGAGCAAAAGCAGTCATACATGTTGTCCGGACCTACACAGCGGCCAACCAGGACGCCCTGGTGTTACAGGCCGACCTGGCCAATGCGTTCAATAGTGTCAGCCACCACGCCATAGCGACGGCCTTGAAAGGATCGCAGCTAGAACCGCTGCTGCCGTTGGTGCATTTCTCGTACGGCCAACCCTCCACGCTGCATCTGGATGCAGCCTTCGCCCACCCACCCCTGCTCAGTGAAACAGGGGTCCGCCAGGGAGATCCCCTCGGCCCCCTTCTTTTTGCCGCGGCCATGCAACCAACTTTGAGAGCAGCAGCGGAGGCTCACCCCGAGGTCATCTGCCTGGCCTACGCGGACGACATGACCTTCCTGGGAGAACCGTCGTCATGTGCAGCTGCTTTTACACACTTCACGGGCCGCTTGGCAGAAATCGGGCTCAGCCACAATCCTGCCAAGTGCGGGGCTTGGGCAGGTAGGACGCCCACGGACTACCACCTGCCAGAGGGGGTCCCTCCCAGCAGTGACGGATTGAAGGTGCTGGGCAGCTACATTGGCACCTCCACGGCAACCACTGGCTTCATACGGTCCAGCCTGGAGGCGATGGGCGCACCGCTGGGATTGATTGAGCGGATGGAGCCACAGCTGGCGGGACTGCTGCTTTCCCGGTGTATCTCCCGCCGAGTGTCATACCTAGCCCGCACAACCCCACTGCCTTTCCTGCCAAAGGAAGAGTGGTCTGAGTGGGGACAGAGGCTGCTGGAAACACTACTAACAGCATGCGGCATCAACCACCCTCGTGGGGACGAGGAGATTTCACGCACGTGGGCGCAAGCCTCACTCCCCGTGTCGCTCGGTGGCCTTGGGTTGACGGACCCATCAGTAGAGGGAAGCTACAGCTTCCTCGCCAGCTACACGCAGGCGCAGCTGCTGCTTGACTCCCTGGACAGCGAGTGCACCGGCCCACTGGAAGTCACGCGTGAGCTGATGCGTGGCCCCTACACCGAGTCCTCCCCCTTGTCCGAATGGCTTGCGGAATGTGAAGGGGAACTGCCGCTTCCAGCCCAAGAAGCTCTTCAGGCTGAGAGATCGGCTCCAACTGCAGGGAAACTACAGCACGGGCTGGCCACGGCCATCCAGGGCCAGCGCTATGCTGTGCAGGTGGAGAGAATCAGGCTAATACAGTGCATTTCTTCACCCCAATTCCCTCTCACGCATATTGGCCTCTCGGAACCCCACCCACCCCACCCTAATTCTCGCCATCTTCCTTGGCGATTCTTTTGCACCCCTCTTCCCGCTATGAGGTCGCTTATTCACCCAGCGTCGTGGCAAATCGGACAACATAGTGTTGCCCTCACCTCCCACCGCGATGCTGTCACCATTTGCACCTTGCCAAACAATAGATCTGGGACAAAGGTTATGGTATTATTGTCTCAACGTACTGGCATACATATTGTATCCAAGTGGTGGGGTGCATGTAAGAAAAGCCTCGTACCAATATGAGTAGCTGCGATGCGAGGGCCTCACCTGGCAGTCTCGAAGTCGAGCTGGTTCGTGTCGCGACTTCCGTCATTCCACGAGTTGCATTAGCATGGTTCGCAGCATCTGCCTGCATGAGGAATAACGACACCACAGAGCTTGGCCACACTCCATGCTCTGGATGGGGATCGTATCCCCAAAACTCTCCCATATCAGAGACTGTAAAATTATCCCTCCTGGATCAGCTGTAACCTCTGTAAAACCATAATCCAGAATATCGATTGCAACAAACACTTTTAGCGCTTCAACCGTGACCCGCTTATCCTCGCCTTCCATGTGTTGGGATTGTGCAACAGGCACATCCACTGCCTCTCGTGACAAACCCTTCACTATGCAACACCCATCATGACCAACCGGCGTGTCGTCGGGCATTGTGCGGGTCGAACCTCTACTGCACCCGTGCCGCACAGACACAACACATCGCATTTCAGGGTACAAGTACGGCGAGCTATCACTGGAAAGATCCACAAAGGTCCATCCCCGCACACTACAAACATCACTAATCAATTCCCGCTTTGTGTAGACCCTTGAGGCCATGACCTGGATGATCTCGCAACCAGGCCCTGCGATCACCGAATTTAACATCCCGCAAATTCTCAACTGTGTTCGTGATAGTGGTAAATGGTGCGGCCTTTCAAGCATTCACAGAGTGCTTCACAAACTTACATGCTACCGAACGGCTTTTGTGCCACGCGTATTAATTTGGTATTACGCGTACATTTAACGTTTACGTTTACGTACGTTCTACATTACTTTTCACTTTCAGTTTTGAGATTATGTTTCCCGGCAGATTTGGTTTTCTTGGCAGGCCGGTTTTTTTTTAGGGGGATCCAAATGTGGTTGTAAACCTTATCGGAATCCCAGCCACTAACCACTGGGATAAAAGGGCTTGTTTTTGTAGCGGGTATGTGCGCCCATAACCCCCCCGGCCAACATGCCTGTAACCCTTCCCTAGGATCAATCGGGGATCACCAGTGGTCCTCTGACACCCCCCCGCACTAGGATGCCCGAAGTGCACACACTGGGATTCTGACATGCTATCAGAGCAGAGGCCAGGGCAGAGTGCCTTGGATTGCCTCTTCTACTTCGGCAAGGGTCTTCGGGACCTTGGAGAGAATCCGCTCGCGCATGACGGTATCGGTCAGTGCGTTGATGTAGTGGCGCACGGTCCCCAATTCGGTATACTCCTTCAATCCCAAACTCAAGCACATTTGACTAAACATCATCCATTGGCTCCTCGTAATAGAAACCTCGAATTCGTCATCATCAATTGGCTCAATGTATCGTCCTTCTCCTCCTCCACTTGTCCAACTGTCGTTCCTGCAACCATACGAATCTTGGCTTGTTCCGCATGCAACTTGTACGTCGTGTTGTAATTGTGGGTGACGTAAACAAGATCCACCAACTGCTTTGGACCAAGACGGTTATGGCGAACAGTGTGAACAGATTCCCACACCGACCAGTTGGTCTCGCAAGTTGACGCAGAGACACACTACTTCAGCACCCTGCTGTCAGAATAAGAACGAGGAATAACTAGAAACAGGACAGTACAAGGATTGTATAGGCAAAACCTAACAATACTCTACCCCATAAGGAGTGCCCCACTACAGCCTACAATATAGTTCTGACACACCCCCATAGGCAAAGTGGGGGACAAGCAAGACAACAAGGCAAGGTCAAGCTCAGGGTGGATCACGACGTCACCACGCATTCTGAGCACAAGTACAAGGCCACAAGGCCAGTTCACATCTAGGGTTATAAATCAAGGTGAACAAGCAAGACAGTGATCTCAACCTAGCAATGGTTAAAATGCAGGTGCAGGTATATATAGACCACAGTACAAACAAAGTCAAGAGGTGAGCAAGTGTGGCCAAGTAGGCACAAGACCTAACATAGTACAAAAACGCTGATGATCACAAGGCTGAAGTGCCTTGGTAAAGATATCAGCAGTGTTGGCCCGAGTGGCCACGTAAGCAATACGAAGCTGACCACGCTGCTGCAACTCTCGAGCAAGGAAGTAGCGGAGACCAATCTGCATCGTTCTGTGCTCCAGTCTGTGCTCCTGACACAGGGCAAGCATGGCCTTGTTGTCAACGTACAGAACTGGAGGAGAACGAGGCGCCTCTCCCAAGTCGGTCAGCAGGTAGGTGAGCACGCATAACTCCTGTGCAGCCATGGCCCCAGCGTAGATCTCAACCTCACAACTGGGGCTGAAGGTGTAACCCTGTGACGACCGCTGCGTAGCCAAGTCGTCAACCCAAGAAGCGTCTGCGTGACCAGTAAGGACAACTCGAGCCCGTCCTCCAAGCATGAGCCCCATGCCTGACGTGTTGCACAGGTAGCGCAACACCCTCTTAGCTGCATCCATGTGCTCTGGTCGATGTCTCCCAGGAGCAACATAGCGTGCCAAGATGCAAAGAGGGTATGCCAGGTCAGGTCGAGTGCAGGTCATCAGGTATATGAGGCAGCCAACAAGCTCCGGGTACGGGCCACTCGCTCTACGGACTCATCCGAAGGCAAAGCTGAGAGCGAGTGGCGAGTAGACAGAGGAGTGGCCTGAGGCGAGGAGTACGTGAAGTTGAAGCGCTGAAGGACCTGCTGCACCATGTGTGACTGAGTCAAGGTAATGGTGCGCCATACTCTATCTCGGGTGATCTGCAAGCCAAGATAGCTGCGCAGCTCACCCAGGTCTGTGCACGTGTGTCTCTTCTGCAGCTCTGACTTCACGTGGGCTAGTCCAGCAGTGTCAGCAGTAGCAAAGACCAAGTCGTCGACGTACCCGAGGATGTAGAACGGCGGCAGAGTATTGTCGGTGCGGAGAAACAGCAACGGGTCAGCAGTGGAAGGAGCAAACCCAAGAGCCGCAAGCGTAGTTCTCAGTGTGTCGTGCCACTCACGGGGCGCCTGGCGGAGACCGTAGACTGGCCGTCGGAGGCTCCACTGGGTACCAGGAGGAAACGACCCAGTGAAGCCAGGTGGGCGGCGCAGCCAGATCTCTTCGTGCAGGCTGCCCGGTAGGAAGGCTGTGCTGAAGTCAAGAGAGTGAAGCTCGTAGTCACGCTGAGCAGCAACGTGCAGCAGTACACGAAGAGTGGTCATCTTTGGGGTGGGAGAGAAGGTCTGAAAGTAGTCAACTCCCTGCCGCTGACTGAAACCTCGAGCCACGTAACGCGCCTTGAAGACAGGCGGAGAACCTGGCGGCCGCTTCACCCTGAAAATCCACATGCCATCGACAATGTTTGCCCCAGGTGG